TCTATTTCTACTGTTGTTCTTGAGGTGGGTTTACAAGGCAACCAGTTAAGCTATATCATTGATTTATATATTGACATATTTTCAGTGAGAGCAGAATAGAATGATTTTTTTAAAATCAAGTCTAATTTAAATTATGATTGAAATGACTTGCTTTAAAGTAGGCTGAGGCTTTGTAAAACTTATTTGAAAATTTGTTCTATTGTAACTTTAAAACTTTTCATGACCTAAATTGCAAATTCTGTTTAATACCATTACTGTTAAGGTATATTTCTTACGTTCTACAATATGGCTATAAGAAAAAACAAAAGAAAAATTTAGGCTCATTGCCCTAGATTTGAAGGGGAGTGACACCCAGATTTTGATTAAGCTAATTGCAGCCATGTTTTGTGCATTCAGCTACCGTGAATTAATAAAATAAAACCCACCTAGTTATGGGTTAATTTAAATAAACAGACCTTCTGAAGGCAAGGTCAAATACATATGCACACTTGCATTCTGTCCTAATCAGAATTGAAGGAGGGTAGAAAAGGGAGCAACAATATGAGACAGAAAGAAAATAAGTGGATGGGAACCTTCAGTTTCGGACATCTTTCATACAGAAGCTGATTAGGACTGAGATTGTTAAGAATGTTTGTTGATATGCAGTTTATTGATATTAGGAGAAATGATGACTCGATGTGGGTCCTTATGACTTACGTGTTTTGTAAAAAATGTGATCTTTGGAACAGTCCCCTGAAGCTATACTGAGAGAGATTTTTCCTGACACTTTTACTCCTTAGCAAGGAAGCAGCCAGCCATTGCTGAACTGCTGCAGTTTACTCAATTCTGTCCCAGATTTTAGGATAATATTTGGGATGTTCTAAACCTATTGCTTGTGTCTGTGTGTGTTTAAATCTAATAAGTTGCAGGTTAGGTAAGTGCATGCTTACTTGCATTATTTTTCCATTAGCTGGTGTGCTGTGTTCCCGTTGATGTATTCCTGACACAGCAAGGAATGAAACAGATGAGTTGCCACTGCTGTGGGTTCTGAAAACCTTAGATAACAGTTCCTGATCCCATATAACTTTACTTCCATGAGTAGTCACGTTGACTTGAATGGAACTACTGGTACTTAAATATAAGCCTGTTGCTAAGTGCAGCATCTATGGCTAAAATTATATTTTTATTAATATTTTTGTTAGAGGCATCCTCACTTCAAAACAAATTAGCTTGGTTTTAATGAAAAGTTATTTTAAATTCCAATACATTAACAAAATTATGACAACTTATATTCACGCAGGCCAAATTTTTCAAAAATAGAGACCGAAAGTGCATGCTTATGTATCTAAGTTATTTTGGAGCACAAATCTGATTGACTTTAAACTGTAAACCTTGGTAGAAAAAGATAGCCTGGTTGAAGTATATTAGCTTTTTTTAACTGTGAAAGTTCAATATAGCAGAAAGCATTTGCAGACATAACATGGAATGTTCCCTTACCACTTTATCTGAGTTTATGGTGTTCTTACAGTAAGAATATTAATGAGCTCTGTACTTGCCTTTTGCAGTATGGGTATGTAGGCGAGAAATTTGTTAGGAAAATCTGAGGTACTAACAGTTCAACTAAAGAAACAACTATGGAACGTCCAGCTAAATAATTCAAGGAAATGTCTGCACTGCAGTGGCACAGCTGTGATGATGCAGCTGTGCTGCTGTAGTTTAGATCCTTCCTATGTTGATGGAAGGACTTTTTCCATCAGTGTAGGTAATCCACCTCTCCTAAAGGCAGTAGCAAGGTCAGCAAAGAATTTTTCCAACAGCTTAACTTCATCCAGTGAGGGTAGGTGAATCCTACTGCAGTGCACATGATACACAATGTTTCATGACCCTCAGCAAGGTCAATTTAATGTTCTGGTGTAGACCAGTCCTAAGATATAAAATGTGAAGAATATAAAAACTAGTAACATGTAAATGAAAGAGTTAATTTAAAACAAAAACTAAACATGAAAATATTTTTTAAAATTCCCATTATTATTATTTACCTTGAGAACCAATGTAGTCTAGGTCAGAGTTGAATTTTTTGAAATGGAATTTATAGACAGAAAACAATAAAGTAGTGATGGAGTGAGGACTAGACTCTGAAATTCAAAAAAAGTGCAATAATTGTAAATGGATTATATTGGATGTTTCTGCAATTGACAAAACATATTAAAGGGTCTTTATATAGAGCAGGGGTGGGGAACCTCAGGCCCAGGGGTCCGAATGCAACCCCCAGCTTGCCTAGATCCGGCTCCCAAGGCTCAGGGACCCCCTAGCACTGGGGAGCCTGTACTGGTGCTCAAGCCCTCGCCCCTCCCCCCCAGTACCCCACCATAGGGCTGGAACACACAAAATCTATTAGCCTGGCCCCCCCCCCCCCCCCGGCTCCGGGGTGGGGGGGCAATTTGGGGGCCAGGGTGCCCCTAGGCTCTGGTGTGTGAGGGGAATTTGGGGAGTGTCTTTCTCCTCAGTCAGGAGTCACATGTCAGTGAGGGATTGGGTTTTTATTATCCTTCTCACTTGTGTGTGGCCCCCGACTGATTTTTTTTTCTGTGGGTCAGTAGCCCTCGACCCAAAAAAGTTACATGCCCCTGCTATAGAGAGAAGGTGATCTGAAAGCTAAATCAGATTTTGGGCCTAACTAACTTTTTTCTATTAAGACAGAGAAAAAAATCATTGTGAATGTTCTGCAGTTTGGTCTGGAACTACCAAACTTGTAGATAGATTTTTTTTTTTAATGGATTTACTGTTCACAAAGATTTTTAAAAATATTTTAGAGACTGACAATTTGGGTCAAGTCTCAGATGATTTGAAACCACGTGAGTGCTCAATTCAAGCACAAATAGTATTTACAATCTGAAGTTTATTAGCACCATTTACCTCAGGTATAGTTTGAATCCTATAGGTAAAATAAGAAATACACTGGATCGAATAAAAGCAATGTATCATTAGAACTTGAATGTGTTTATGCAGGATTTTAGTTAATGCTGATAATATAGAAAGCAGTTCATTTAATCTGTTCCAAGGTGTGTGTGGTGTTATAAAGCATTATTTACAGTATTAAACTTCAGTTACAGCACACATTTTGTTACACTACAGAAGTTTTATACTCTTAATTACAGTAATGAACTTTAGAATTGTAAAGAAGTTCTAAATTTCAAACTGCTTTTATTGTCTTCCAAAGAATATGCAAGATGTGTTCTTTACAGTTGAATAACACATTACAGTAATTTTAAGGCTGCCAAATCAAATAGTTATAAATTAGGTTGCTTATGCAATCTTAATGCATCTTTCTTCTTTGTTTCCAAATCTTAACATGCGTTTATTTCTTGTAAGTGTAGCCGTTACATCTGACTTCCTTTGTTTGTAATACTTTATTGTGGGAATAATTCAAGATGAATGTATTTAGCTCAATGACTTTTAAATACTGACGTGTACCATTAGACCGCACAAACAGTCTGGTTAAGTAGTCTGCTGAAAAATGCAGGATTCAGTATCCCCCTAACAATTTGTAAATTTAACACAAACTTGCCAAATAATTTTAGCCAATAAATTTTTGGAGGACTGAGACATCATTCACAAAAAGCCAGGAATAAATAAATGGTGGTGATATTCTATAAACTTGGCCCAGTGGCTAATGCACTCATCTGGGATGTGAGAGATCCAGCTTCAAATCCCCATTCTCACTGGAGAAAGATACAAGTTTATATTCTCATGTTGCAAGAGAGTGTCCTAAACAGTAGGCTAGAGGATATTGTGATTTCAGTGTCTATCCTGTTTTAAGCTGTTCCACTGGATATAGTCAGTCATTGGAGCCAGGAAGTAAGTAAACTTAACTATCTCATTTTCCAGGTAAATGCCTGAACCACCAGGCTGTCTGGCCCAATGACTAATTATTTATACAAAGTGGAATAGATTGAGCAGGAAAGATGGAGAAAGATACACCTCAGACTACCCAATAATCCAAAGATTAATGTGCTCTTCTGCACTGTGAGAAACCAATTTCAGATCCCTATTTCAATGACTGTTTATAATCAGTGGGACAACTTCCATGAGGAATTGAGACCCACATCAGTTTACAGATTATCCCCTAGCTGTGAGCTGTTACTCTGTCACAATGACTCTATCCAAGAGCTGTTGTATTGACTCCAGTTGTACTTTATGGAATCATAATTAGATACAACAGTAGCTTAATTAGATTACAATACCTTAATTACAACCCAATTGTTTTTTTCCCTGTGCACAAGATTTTAATTTATTTTAGTTCTGTGAAATGTTTGAAGAGTGCTACTGTATTAGGCTCATCAGGGGAAAGAAAACATGCATATTTCAAACTTCTCAAAGAAACCATTTTCATTTTTTTCACCCATTTTTATTCAAACTAATTCATTCTGAATTGCTTTAAACATGGCAGGATATCCTGCATCTTTCTACATTAGAGGATGAATTCCTGCTTTAGTGTAAAATGGTATTTCCCCTTAAATAAGGAGCCATGAATGCTCATACTATGAAGATGCCAAAGTCTTTGCTAGGTACCCATGATGTTATCTGCTGCCTTCCTTTAAATTAAAAACTGTTTTGATAGATTGTAAATATATTTCTAACAAGCTGTGTCATTCTTGAATTAGGCTTGTCAGTCATAAGTGAGTCATTTGTCACCTAATTAGACCTCTTACATGTATACTATGATCCAGTTTGGATTGACAGTTGCCAATAGTATATATTTGGAATTATATAAATGAGAACATGACTGAGTTGGAGGCTTATGACTTTTTTTCTCTTAAACCAATTATAATAGATTGTTTACTTTTTTAGGGCAGGACTCTCCCTTTCTTCATATCAGGCACACTTTTTGCCCTTCAAGTTTTGAACAGATTGTTGGCAAAAATGTTTGTTTTGCTTTTTTTAACAGGAAAATGTACTTTAAATTAATAAGCTTTATTGTAATATTGCAATATTTCAAGTATTACTTATATTCTTTTTAGAAGAGACTACAGAAAGAACTATTGGCTTTGCAGAATGACCCACCTCCAGGAATGACTTTAAATGAAAAGAGTGTTCAGAATTCAATTACACAGTGAGTGTGTAAATACTTTTTATGCTTTCTACATTAGCTCAAATTATAGACAATGTTTTTTCTAGAGTAATATTTGCTCCAACTGATACCTGGATAGAAAAGTAAATTGCTTAGTATGCTTATTAGTAACTAATAAACTGAGTAATAATCTACAGTATGATACATTTCACTGTCTTCTATCAAGTATGGGTTAGGTGATGCTTGCCCTTGAAAAAATAAAACTTTTTTTTGTGGAAATTAAAAAAAAAAGTCAGCCTTACTGTGCCCACACGTTATCTGACAGAACAGAATTAAATTCTGGCAAACCATTCTAGATCAAAACTTTTACCCTGAAGTAGTTTAGCATTAACTTCATTTTGCATTAAATCAAGAGGGGTGTCCCTTTTAGTCAACAAAGAATTCTTAACTCAGGAGAGCAAAATCTGAAGGGATGCTAAGCAAGCAGTTTCATATAAAAGTGAAGAGGTGATGTCATCTCACACCATGCTTTGGCATGAACAGGACTGGGGAAGAGAGTATAAGCAAACTAAGCTTGTACTACTGAATACATCAGTTACTGCCATCATATATATAGTAGCCCAATGTCTGTGACTCTGTAATGCTGAAATGCTGGATGTTCCCTCCCGCCATGGCGCTTGGCTGACTTCTGTGCCGCTCAGCTGGGGCGCCGCGCAGGAGCAAGCAGCTGTTTGGGGTGCGCGCTCCCCATGCAGCACAAAGCCATAGTCTTTCTAGGCCTCACATTGGTCGATATAGCATCACCAGTGACATTTTTGCAGATGAGAGTGGGAGTAAGAGCATGCTCCTTTTTAATTCTTATGTAATGCTAGTAAACTGCATTTTACTTGTGACATTCTTATTACTCTTAAATCTCTCTGGCAGAAATGTAAAATAAAATAGAAAGGGAGTCTGCTTTCACCTGAGGAATGGGATAAGAATAATCATCACACAAGCTGTAGACTTGGTGATGAGATTGGGGTGGACATATAAGCCATCTGTCAACATGAGCTTTCCTGTCTCTTGTGAGTACAAGTAGGCATTTGATAGCAAAATACAGTTGTGTTTGTTTCCTGAGGAATTCCTGCTTGTATAACCTACAACATGATAGCAAAGATTGATTATATAAACTACCAAAGGTGCTTCTCATTTCTGCAAATTTGGTTTAATTTCCATGTTGTATTTACTTTTGTTTTCATTGTCATTGTGATACTGAAGCATAGGTCAGCTAGTAGTTCACTGTTAGGTTGTTCATTCAGTTACTCTTTTAAATTGCTCTTTTGTGTGTTTTTTAGGTGGATCGTAGATATGGAAGGTGCTCCAGGCACACTATATGAAGGGGAAAAATTTCAGCTTCTGTTTAAGTTCAGTAGTCGATATCCTTTTGATTCTCCTCAGGTAATTCGTTTCTCTCTCGTTCCTACTTGCCTTTCTTTTTTTAGCTTATAGCTTCTTTGCATATGCTGAATATTTTTATTGTCTACACTTCTCATAATTTTAAAGGTTTTAGTTTCATGGTTTCAATTGTACACTCAATCGTGCAGTTGCCAACTCCTTTAAAAATGTTCCCACAAATGAGGAATATGTCCAGTTGTCTCATAGGAAATACATTTTTTGTTAGTCTCTAACATGATGCAAGACTATTCTTTTTTTAAAAAAAAAAATTTCAGGGAAAACAGTAAATTTAACATTTCTGAGATTTACTTAAATCCTCTTAGGGAGTTTTTGTGGCAGATGAAAGAGCAACACAGGGCAGTGATTCTCTGCTTTTGCGATATAGAAATAAGTAAAGTATTATTTTTTCCTCTTTTCTTGGCTCCAAAGCTCAGTGCTTTTCCTTGAAGTTTCTCTGTTGTACTGGTTAGTATTTTTGGGGAAGTACTGCAGGTAAGTACGGCTGTGATTGTGGCAGGGGAGCACCAAAATGGGTATTGTGGCATCATAGGAAAGACTTGATACCACATGAGTCACGGAAAAAAACTGGTATATTTTTTTCCTGAACCAACAGCAGGATCTGCAGAGGAGGTACACTAACCTATTGGAAAAGTCGATTTATTGATCTCTAGAGACAACATCAAACCACCTAAAAGAAACATTTCTATGTTGAGCTACATCAGGGGTCAGCAACCTTTTAGAAATGGCGTGCCGAGATTTAACTTATTCACTTCTATTTATAGGTCAGCATGCCAGTGATACTTTTTACTGACCTGTAAGCAATAATAGTCCTGCTTACAGCGGCTTCATTAATAAATGAAGATGCAGATCTTACTGTTTAGTGTGATTCTTGGCTTTGCTTTGCCTTGCTGTGTTTTCCGATCTTGGGCTCGTAGTTTAAGCATACTTTAAGCAGCACATAAGCCTCTGAGTCAGGGTTCAGCAACCTGTGGTACACCAGAGCACCTGCCCAAGCAGCCACGCCCTAATGTGGCCACGGACCTGCCTCCAACACACCCACCCATGGCTCCAACCCCAGCAGCAGCAACCTGCCCAACCATGACTTCAGCATTCCCCCCTTCCTCCAGCAGCAACTCGCACACCCACAGCTTCAACCCCCTAGCACAGTGTTTCCCAATTTTTTTTTGACCACGGAACCCTTTCAAACTCAGAAAAATTTCAAGGAACCCCCTCGCCAGGGATTAAGTTTGTCGAGCAAACAAACAAACAAAAAAAACCCACACCCAGACTGCCAGTATACCACAATTGGTAGTAATAAGATGCTAAATATGGTCATGAGATCACCATTCATTTAAATTCAACATATTGAATATAACACCATTTATATTCAACAAAAATCATATTAAATATGTACAAAAAATAAAACTATCAAATAATATTAATTATATTCATACTTTTCAATGTGTAGAGTAGTTTTTCTTTTCTTGGCAAATTCTTTTTATATTTGGTTTAATACTAGAAAGTTGGATTCGCATATCTGGCGCAGCATTCAGTCGATTTCTGTATTTCATTTTCATTGCTGCATAGTTCGAGAACCCAGTTTCGCACAAGTATGTACTGGCAAAGGGTAATAGCTGACGAATTGCGTGTCTTGATAAAGATGAATATTCTTGACTTTGACATAAGTCACTCCAAAATGTAATCAGAGAAACTTCTTTAAATTTTTGTATTAATTGGCCATCTGAAGCGATTTCAATTAGGTTTTCATAATCTTGTGTAGAAAAACTGACTGGCTTTTCTGTTAAACTTAATGGATTTCGAATCCAGTTATTGTTGTCATTGATGTTTGGAAAATACTTAATGATGTTCGTATATAAATCGTGGAGATGATCTGCAATGTCGCTGCGAATATCTTCATCAAGGTTGTATCCATTTTCTTCAAGGAAATCATTCAGAGTTGGTAAACAATCCAAATCATTTCGTCGTACAGATGAGATCCAAAACTGTAGCTTCCGTGACAATGACAAAATTTTCTTTCGCATTAAAAATATTTACATTCTTTCCTTGCAGCGACAGATTTACTTCATTTAGTTTTGTAAAGATGTCTGCAAGATACGCAACTCTCGATAACCACAAAAAGTCTGTTAAATGATCAGACAGTTGGAATTTGTGATCCATCAGATTTGCGGAGAGCTCATGACGCAATTCAAATAATCTAACCAGCACTTTTCCTCATGATAGCCACCTGACTTCTGTATGTAGAAGCAGGGCTGTGTGCTGACTACCCATATCTTCACACATAATTTTGAACAGTCTTGATTGTAATGGTCGAGTTTTTATATAATTAATAATCTGTACTGCTTCGTCCAACACATTTTTAAGAGAGGGAGAAATATTCTTAACTACCAGAGCGTGTCTGTGGAAAATGCAGTGACTTGTATTGGTTTGCAAAAATTCACATAAAAGTAAGTCTTCTTCAATAGAACTATTAAAATCATTACGGACAAATACAAGCAGAACTGCAAGACCTGCAATGTCAGTGGACTCGTCTAATTGTAATGCATGAGCATCACATAAATGCAGCTGAAAAATAAGCTCCTTCTCGATGTCAGCAGCAAGATCATGAATACGACGAGTGACAGTATTGTTTGATAGTGGCACAGCCTCAACTTTTTTACTAGACTCCTGATCCAACATACACATCACAATATCTT